CCACTCTCCAGTTGCCACTTGCCCCTGCCCCTGCCCCTGCCTCTGCTACTGCCACTGCCTCAGCCTCTGCTCCAGGGAGTGCGGAACTTTAAACAAATATTTATTGAAGCAAAAAGTCGCAGAGCTCCAAGCTGATCATCATCGAGCTTCGATCGCTGGCATTCATTATATGTGTTTACAGCTGCAATATTTGGGGCAACATTTATGCAAAATAAACAACACTGCCCCATCCTGTGGGCTTCGTTTCCCTCTTCTCTCTGTCCCTCCCCATCTCTGCCTCACCCACTCTCTCGCTCTGCTGCTTTCGTTATGCTTTGCTACGGAGGGCCGCAATTGATTTGGAACAGACCACCCAACATATCAGCTCACACGTACCGGAACGACTCTCCACTCTCCTCTCTCCTCTCTCCTCTCTGCAGTCATCCCATTGGCAACGTGATCTGCAGGCGTCGTCTTGATCGCATCTGCATATAAAACCTACTCGGCCTGTCTGACACCCATGTTGCCAGCTTGTTCTGTTTCTTGTTGCTCATGTTGCACGCTGTTGTTTTTTTTGTTTTTTGTTTATTTATGAGCTGTCCGGTCCGTTGCCACCTCGATAGCTGCGTGGGCTGCCTCTGTCTCTGTCAGGAGAAAAAAGTGAGAATTGGGCCAATTAGTGGTATTAGTTCTAGCTGAATTTCTCCATATCGTAGATATCTGGCCAACATCTCTTACACTAATTGCGATGTGGTGGCACCACTCCCTAAAGTGTGGCAAGTGTGAAGAGCTCGCACTTTAAACGGATATTGATTATCAGCAATCTCTCTATAGGGTATTTAAATATATCCATATATATATATCTATAGTATATGTTATATTGAATATTAATAAGGCAACAACTCGTTATTAAGCCGTTTCGCATTTTGTTCACATTTTGCTTAGCTCATTTTAATTGAGAATGTGGAGTTGTTACATAAATTTGATTTCTGAGAGATAACAAACAAGTACATTGGGAATTAATATGCCTGTCAATTGATATTAAGATTTTTGCACATAATTTTTACATTATTCAGCGTGCCAAATACAAATCAATTCACATTTAGTCATTATTATTTGTAAAACATGTAATATATTAACATATTTAATATATGTATGTTTCAAATTAAAATATGTACTTAACCTCAGTTAGTTGGATTCGCCAACTCTCGCCAGCAGGTGTCGCTGTCTAACAATGAGATGGTGTTGATGATAGCGCTGTTACAAATAGCCTTGACATAACTTTACACACATACACTCGCATGCTCACATAGTCTCTCTCTCTCACACACACAAGTGTGCGTTTGTCACACAACATTAGCATTAGCTGACGACAATGCCAAAGTCACGCCCAGCCAGATGTCGAGCTCACTTGCTCTGCCGGCGGCTGCGGAGATCACAGATTGCCGAACCGTGTTACACCTACCCTCTCTATCTTTCATTCTCTCTCACTTCTGCTGTGCATAATAAATGCCCGCATCAATCAACGCTGACGCATGCGCTTACGTCAATTTGCTCAGTGCTCAGTTGTCGAATTCGAACTCGAACTCGAACTAGACATGTCAATGCTGCTTAATTACATGCCGCACCAAACAACAGCAACAACAATAACAACTGTTAATCAACGGTAGCTGCACAAATGGCAACCACAAAAGTTCACAAAGTGCACGCAACACATCGTCGACTGCAATTGCCATTCCAAGCCAAATTTGAGAACGAGTGCGAATTCGAATGCGAATGCGAATGCGAATGCGAATGCGAACTGACTGTGAGTGCGAGTGCGACGGCAAATGCGAATGCGAATGCCCGTGCGAGCATTTGTTTTGCAACGCAGTGCAAAACGTGCCACTGACAAAGCCGAAATGCGGTAGCTACAACAACAGCAACAACAACAGCAGCAAAGGCAATGCGCAATGTGCCATTGTTAATTGCATGACATAATCCACAGCTAATTCGAAAACGAAAACTCAATCGAAAAGCAAACTAGAAAGAAACAAAAAGACAAAAACTAAGTAAAGATGTCACTATGATATACCCTGCGCTAAAATTGAGTAGTTTATTGGAGTAAATGTTATAAATGAGATAATATAAATTTTTATTTTAATTTTAATTAGGATAAATTGCGAATATATATAATAGTATATTTAAAGCTCTATTTAATATAAGAAAATATCAGAGCAGTTGAGCAAATAATGTGTTAATAATAATTTTGTATTTTTATAATACAATACATAATCGCCTTTAAATACACTCTCCATTCCCAGCCTGTTACAACTTACACCACATAGTCAGTCATGCCATTTAGCTTTCTTTACTCAGCCCAATCAAAAGCCCGACAAATTGTGTTCGAGCGGCCAAAAGCAAAAAAGGCAAAACTAACGGCTTTTATTACCGTCTGCATTTACGTCTGGTGTCTTTTAATTGCTTAACTATGCCCAGCGGCAATTGTTAATAACAATTAGAAAATTTGCATGCGATCGACAGCAGAGATCGCCAAGATCTATGTAGATCGCGATATCGAGACACATTCAGCTAATTTGCGAGGCTCCGGCTTGATCTTTGAGTGCCGATCGACGCTGGTGGCCACGGCGAATGGACAGCGTGCGGCGAATTGACGGACAAGCCTGTCAGTGGGTTTTGTTGTTGTTTCGATTTTTTGTTGATTTTTTGCAGTTGATTTTGTGTGTGTGTGTGTGTGTGTGTGTGTTGGTCTCAATTAAGCCACACGCCGCGATTCAATTACAGCTGCATTGCATACAGTTTATACTCGATACTTTCGTACTCGATACATTCGAGTGTTCGTCCGTCCGTCCGACTGTTTGTCCGTCTGTGCGCGGCGCTGACAAATGCCATAAAAACAAATAAAAACGCGCTCGATTTCATTAGCACGCCAAAACGGCCAGCTGTGAAAATTGGAGCACAACGGATGCTTCATAACGATCATAAAGATGATGATGATGATGCTGACGACTATCAGCAGCGAGATGAGATGCGGATGTGCTACTGCCTACTGCTGCGGCAGAAGCGCAGTTCAACTGACCAGGGCCAGAGTGTGTCCGGGGCTGGGGCACATACATATATACGTGTATATAGGTATGTACGTGTATTTGAGCGCTGTTTGCACAGATGTTCATTATACGAAATTTAACGTTACGTAAATTTAACAGAGTGTTTGCGTATGCATGTGTGTGTGTGTGTGTGTGTGTGTGTGTGTTTCATTGAAATTCATTAGGCCGCGTGTCAAGCTGAATGGAAATTTCATTGAGTGGCAGAGCGTCGAGGCGAGAACTGATCTCGCTGCTCATGAACATCATTGTTTAGTGTCAGCCAGCTGCCAATAGATGGCGCTCTCATTGCAACAGACTCACTCAGGCAGGCAGTGGCATAGACAAAGCTGAGCCATTGATTGATGCTTTTAGCTGCAGCAGCTGCAACTGTGCAGTAAGTAGGTTGCCCCACTGCATCGCATCGCATTGCCATTTATGATGATGTTGTTGACGTTGATGCACCACAGTCCCCACCCAACCTGACAGTCCACAGTGTGGGCCACACCCCACCACACCACTCGCCCACAGCCACCTCCCATTTGGCGGCTGGCAAACAACATATGGAAGCCGAACTGTCTGTTCACTTTGATCATATCGCTCGACTACAGCTGTGGCCGTGTGGCCGTGTGGCCGTGTGGCTGCGGCTAAGGCTGTGGCTCTGTTTGCTTTGGCACCGACCAGTGGGTCACTTGACATCCACCATGGGCAGCAGCCAGGCAATCACTGCACAAAAACTACGCTGTGGCATATATATTTTTCTACAAGGTCAAATGGGGAGATCAGGAACTCTATATGAGAGTTTTTAGTAATTTCAATAGGTAATTGAAATAGTAATTGAGTTTTAAATGAGCTTAAAAAGATTTTGAAGCGTGAAAAGAACTGTAAGCATAAAAAAAATAAAAAAAAAAAAAAAAAAACTTGAAACGAAGCTTAATTTATTTGAAAGTATTTAGCAGTTAAGCAGTTTGACAGAGCTCAGCTTTTTACACAAAATATCTAATATTCTATATCTTCCTCTTTACTTCTTCACCTGAACCACCCTAAAAATCATTTCAGATCAGCTCATTCCACTGTACTTTGCATTGGTTCAAGTCACAAAACACACACAGATTCTATTTGTCTTACCTACTCGTCCACTCATCCCCCACCCTTCTGTGTGCCCGCCCCACTGCCTTTGGCTAAATGGAAAATTTACAACATTTGTGGAAAATTGGCAAATTCAACTTATTTAGTTGACCCATTGAGCAAATTTCGTATAATTTTGCCAGCAATTTGGCTGGCACTCAAGAACGCATCCGTAAATGTTTACGCTAATGGCGGCCACGTACGACACGTGAACCCTTTTTTGTTTTTCTTCACAAAGTCCCCCCTCACCTCAGCTCCGCCCCCTGCTCCACTTAGACGGCCATTAAGGAGTGGCTGGAATAAAAAAGAGGAAACCTGCTTAAAGAAAGGCGCACATACGGCATATAAAAATTTAATAACTTTTTGCACAGTAGCACGTACCATGACTCACTCACACACACATACACAGCAAACACACACACACTCTCGCATACACCCACGACGAAAAAGCAATCATGACATGTGGCTGAGACTGCAAAAAGCAAGCTGAAATTGAGGCTCGAGCTGGAGCTGTGAGAGGCAGACGTAGTGCCGCGCCTGTCGTGCCACAGGCCGCATGCCACATGCCAAAAGCGCAGCCAAGCACTTGAGAAGCTGCCACTTCAGCAACAACAACAGCAACAACAACAACAACAACAAGAGCAAGAGCAAGCAGCAGCCATCTGTCATAATCGTCAGGCGACTCGGCATCAAATTGTAACCTAATAATTCCCCATGGTCGCCCAGCTGTTGCCCCGCCGTTGCCCCGCTCTTGCACCACCGTTGTCCTGCTGCATGTTGCCAACTCAATTAGAGCAGGGCTTAAATTACGCATACGCCGCGTGCAACACTTTGCGGCATATGGCATAGCAACGAAAAGTGTTGCCACGTCCCATGCCCATGCCCATGCCCATGCCCATGCAACACCCCCCAAACAACGTCACATTTATGAATTATGCAGCGGGCAGGAAGATGCGGCACAAGATTTCCCCACGGACTCAGCTGAATGCTAAAACGTGTTCGCCATCAGTTAAGAGCGTAAAACAGAATTTGATTGAGCTAAACGTCTAGATCCTTGGGGTGGTGGTTGTTGGGCCAGATAGCACTTTGATTAGGTTGTTCGGTCCGGCTCAGGGCTGTCGATGAGGTTTAACCCCGAACGAGACGCTCCGACTCTCCGGCTCTCCGACTCTCTGGCTATCCGGCTCTGGCTGTGCACGTGCCTTAATTGTTTTGTTTATCTATTGTTGCGCAAAACAACAAAAAATATGAACTGAAAATTTTCCATATTTTATATTAGTTTTCTATTCACAATTGTTGCTATTGCGATGGCTGTTGTTGTTGTTATTGTTGTTGTCTTTTAAGTAGCTTAGCAAAACAAAAAAATTAAAAATCCATTTCGCTTGTGTGTCTACGATGAAACGGCATTGCAATGTCATATCTGTCTGACTATTCGACTCTCTGTTCGTCTGTCCCTCAGTCCGTCAGTCAGTCAATCAGTCAGTCAATAATTGTGGCACACACCTGCTGCCGTCTGCTTGTTAGATCTGCGTTGTTGTTGTTGTTGTTGTTGTTGATTGCAACCCACGCCCCAAAAACTTGCGCGACTCGTCTCTAGCTGCTCGTCATCTCCCTCTGCTCTGCTCCCTCTCCCACACTCCCTCTCTGTCTGTCATTGACGCTGGCAGCATCTGCCTCRCTCTCTCGCTCGCTCGCTCAGCCGGCGGCGGCATCGCATTGCGGAAAACTGCATCGCACGTTCGTTTGAATGTTCATTTTTGAAGGTTGCCTTTAAGAAACATCAAGTTTCACTTGGACATTTTTATTTTTATAGGTTTTTCACGTTTTTGTTTGTTTGCTTTTTTTTCTCTTTGTGGTTCGTCTCGCTTCAGTTTTTTGTTTACTTTTATTTTGAGCGGGGCCAATTGAACAATTTGTCTTTGACAGCTGCCAGCGGAAGCTGAGGTGTATCAAAACCTTGACTGAGCTTGACTGCCATTGTTATTACTCATGCGAGAAGTGACAGAAGCGGAGTACAGATTTTCATTGGGCATTAGTATAGTTGACCGATGTAGAGATGGCATTACATAACTTTGGGGACTTTAGGAGCAGATTTTATCTTATATAGTTGCATTGCTGTCATTGGCGTTGAACATATTTTAGATAATATTGGGTTACCCAATTTGGGTGGGTATTACAGTGTTTTAGTATTTAAAAAAAAAATTGAAATAATAGGAAATGAAATATAGAGAGATATAGAGTTAATGAAAGATAGAGAGATATAGAGTTAAAGCTAAAGAAGGGGAGAAAGTGATAGGGAGTGAGAAAGAGAGAGACAGAAGGGAAATTATAGAGAGTTAGAGAGAGAGAGAGAGAGATAGAGAGAAAGGAAATAATAGGAAATGAAAGATAGAGGGAGAGATAGAGGGGATGGGAAAGAGAGACTGAGACTCAGAGAGAGAGAGAAAGAAACAGCATGAAAGAAGAGTAAGAGAGAGAGAGCGATAGACAGATATAGAGCGGGAGCTCAATGGTCAGATAGAGAGATAACCAGAGAGATATATACATTCGCACATAATTCATTCGCTTGTAGGCTGTAAACCGTTACACGACTATTCAATTATAGCTTAAATAACTCTCGAAAGTTTGGAGTCTATGTTTGTGTATTGCCTAATTGGCTGCCCGCCTTTTGCAGATACAAATCGAATCGAATCGAGGCGAATCGCATCGATTGGCAGTCTGCGAGACACGCGTTATAAACGCCTACAGAAAATAGTAGATATATAGCGCACGCCGTCATATAATTTGGCATGCTGAACTTTGATCTCTGCGCTCATAAAAACTTCAAAAAATGGCGCATGGCAACAACAACAACAACAATAACTACAGCAGCAGCAGCTGCTGCAACAACAAATTATGTGGCCAACATTTCGGCGACATTTGACGCAACAGAAAAGCGCAAATTAACCTCAGGCAACAGGGGGACAGGGGCAGGGTCACCGGGAAGGCGAGGGGAGTGGCAGGCAGCCGTCGCTTATGTATAAAACTTAACGAATCTGTCAACCTGCCGACTGGGCCAAGATTTACGAGAGGCTGCTGCACTCGCGACTAGGTGCAGTTAACAAATTGTTCAAATATGGATGCCAACTAAAGCAAACACTGAGCGAAATCAGTGACGACTTGATGCTGCAGAGGGAACGATGCACTTAACGTGAATGAATGAGATTTTTAGCTGAGATTTTTGCTTAAGAATATGGCAAACAGTGAGCAAAATTAGTCATAAGTTTTAATGTGTATAAACATTAAAAATGCATATAAGAAAGCTGAATTGATATTTGATATGTGAATAAATACTTTAATCGTATAGATACATATATGTACATATATATTAATGATCAATAAAATTTATTGCTCTCTGATACGATCCAAAAATATTTATTCATGTATATCTTCATTCGCTGCTTAAGAAAACAAAAACAGTGAAATATTGTTGAAGTGAAGGTAAATCGAATATAAAAGTTGACTTTAAATTGGATAAAGCGTTACGAATAATTAATACAGTGAACAAACATTATAAGATAAATATTTATTGAATGTCTATGAAAATGAAATGAAATAGGAGAGATGAATTCCCCATTGGAAGTGTAAAATCTTATAGAAACCCCAACCAATATTTAGATACATCTATGTTTTTATAAATTCATACATATATACTCTAAGAAACTTAAAATATAAGAGCATATAAAACAATACAAATATGAAATTTAAAATAGGTTTTTAAAAAAATGTTTAATAACCTAAAGAAGTTTCATTTTCTTTGTACATATAAAATAAATATTTAAAAAAAAAATACTAATAAATTTTTTACTCAGCACTAGAAGTACCCTAGATATTTTGGCAACTGTAACCCCAAGTGAGGTTGCTATGCACGCGGGTGGAACTTTTGGAGAGCAGCAAAAAACAATAAAAAAAGAACCCACAAAAAATCGTTTGAAATTTATGCGACGGGTTCAAATTAAATCGATAGCCGTGCTTAAATGTCGGCTAATGCAAAGCGGCAAATAGCAAACAAATATCAATACCAGAGCCGCCTGCCAACACAACTGCGATAATTGTTGCTGTTGTTGTTGCTGTTGCAGTTGTTGTTGTTGTTGTTGTTGTTGAGTCACCTCACCTCATGGCTTGAGCTTGTGTAAGCCACCTGTGCGCCTAGCTGCGACGTCAGCTAAGCGCCAGTCCCAAGCTTTCGGCCTGCACCTGCGCCAATCGCCAATCGCCAGCTGCTCGCCAGCTCTCTCGCTCTCTCGCTCGCTCCCGCTCGATGGCTCTCGCTCGCTCCGGCTTGCTCGTTCGTTTGGTTCGCTCTCTTTCTGGCCTCAAATGAATCTAAATTCAGCTTTAGTTTTTAGCTTTATTTTTAGCCTTTTTTATGTTGTTTTTGTTTGCAAGCAATTAGCCGCTGCTGCTGTCGTTTTCTAATTAGTTTACGAGCTGTGGTAGCTAACCTTTTCGATTGTTTCTTTTGTCTATGTCCCTCTCTCTCTCTCCCTGTCTCTCTCTATCTCTTTCTTTTGCGTCTACTTTGCGCAATTTCAATTTTAATTTTTCAATTTCTTGTCGCCCGCGTGTCAGTTCCGTTGGCATTTCAATTGAGTTATTTACCCGATAGCCGAATCGCATCCAGTACCTACCTCTTGCCCCCCGCCGTCGTCTAGCTGGGCTCTTGCTCCAGTTTTCGCATTTGGTTCCACTCGCTTTTTATGGCCAGCTCTGTCAGCTAGAAAATTAGCCTCTAATTTAGTTTTTATCTTTATGCAATGGCCACTAATTATTTATTTTTTTTAGCCCCCAATGGAATTGCTTTTTAAATGCTCTCCGGCTGGTTGTAATTGAAAGATCTGTTATGTGACTTAACAGCACTGTTTTTCTTTTTTTTTTTTTCCTTAAAGAGACAACACTAACAATTAAGATATGAGAGTGAATAATATATGTAAATGTGTATTAATGTGGTTACATTTGTCCATGGGGAAACTGGAAGGTGGGTTGGGTGGAGGTGATTAGTGTAGTGCAATAAAATATGTTGTTTACCAACACTAAAGTGCACTAGAGTTATTTCATAATATATGTTGTTTAAAGATTACAAATATTTATTATATAATTTATATTTTTCCAGCACTGCACAGTTTTAGATTAGAAATAGCATAAAATTTTGTGTTTACCAACACTAAAAATTTAAATTATTAGATAACCTAGGCTACCAACAGAATTATTATAATTAGTCGTTTATCAACACTGAACACAACAAATTTATGAGTATAAATATGCTCGTTTATCAACACTGATTTCGCTTTAAAGTACTCATGTCTTGGTTAATTAAATAAAAGTATTTATGTACGCTTACCAAATAAATAAAAATATAATAAAAATGTTCTTCGCCAGCCTTAAATGCTGTTCCAATATATCTTCGCGCAGCATCGAATCTGAATTAGCATAAGAATAATATTAATTTTGTTGGGCTCCCGGTGCTGTGAATGAATCAATTACGGGCAATACCTTAAATCGACTCATTCGTGCTACACCGCACACAAATTTCGCCACCTAAAAAGCTGAACATTGACATGCGACATGCGAGATGCGAGAGCGACATGCCGCACATTTGTATGTATGTATATCCGCTACAAATGCACATCCAAATCTACATCCACATCCAGGATGCTGGGCCAACGTTTAATCAGAACAGAGTACAAATTAATAAAAACAAAATTTAATAAAAAAAAAAAAAAAAACAAAATAAACTCTACTCAGATGACATGCAAAGCTCAGTTGTGATATACAACTAAGTGCATGTCCTGAGATCATTTTGGGGAAACGCGATTTCGGGCTCGATGTCCGCTGTCGGAAATTCCGATGCTCA